ATTCTCAACTAGGCCGTTGGTTGCCGCTAGCCCTTGTTGCGGTCGCTGGCTTGCTGAGTTGTTGACACAAGAGTTGCACCGACGCAGGTGCAACTACAAACTGACGTCTATAGAACGCCTTATAACACTAGGTCGGCGTCGCTTGCCAGCGCTAGTACACAACAATATCACGCACATGTACAGATGACACAAGCGGCTCGAAGAACAAAGGGACGATAGATAATCGTGAAAAATAAAGTGCGACTTCGGCGCACTCGCAGAGAAGAGGGCTAATATCGACCGTGCGCGGTGATTTCCCAAGAACTGACTGTAGGACCCGACAGGTTTTTCTGAGCACAGTCGGTTGTGCCTCTCTCGGTTATTCAGAGAAAGAGAGAGAAAACGTGCGCACAAACAAGTCAAACTAATAAAAAAAGGAAAAATATGTTCTGGCCGCACTGAGCCTCGGGTTTCCCGACCATAACGAGCTCGAGCGATAAACGTCCCAGAACACATGTGTTTGGGACCGAACGTCTTAACATGCCGCGCGCGCGCTTTCTCATCTCGAATTTTATGCGCACGTGAAGCGCAGATGCCGCGAACAAGTATGAAACCATTGCGGTTGCTTTAATTGAATTTTAAAGCGAAAGCCTGAACTATAAGTTATAAATTAGAGCGTGAATTAATAAATCAAAGTATTAACAGTATTGAAAATAATAAAGATATTAATTATTTATAATTTATTATTGATTAGCGTTTCGTTCATCATTCAATATTCTTTTACCTCAATCATTTTTTGTCTCATGCTGGCTCGCACGACTTGGTTATCTCGTATATTCTAGTTTTTACTTTTAGGGTACTTTTGTGCATAACCTGAAATAGATCAAATACACGGTACCATATATTAATTCTTAATAATCAAGTTTTAGCTTGAGCACATTTTATTCAATATGTATTCAGGAAAAATTGTGAGTAGACCGTTTTTATACGTTCTTTGAGAGCTTTTTCAAACTGAATTTGTCCACAAAAAATGATGATATAAATATTTTGAAATTTTTTTTCGCTTTCGTTCAATCAATTAAATTTTTTTTTCTATCTATAATACTGAAGCTAGAAAAAATCTAGAAAAAGATTTTGAAAGGTCGTGGAAAATGCTATTTTGATTGTTTTTCAAAACATTTTCATATCATTTTTCGTCGAGGTCGAAGTCACAGATGTATTTCTTTATATCTGTAGTGTAAGCATACGCGAATAATTTGACGATTGAATTAAAGTACTGTTTGTTTATCGTTTTCATCCACCAACTCAATTGGTAGGTATTATAGAGACTACGATGTGCTCTATTTGCTTTCTGCCTATTTATCACAACAAAGGTATTAATTAAATGATAAATTTATATGCTTCAAACTTTACAAATAATTGACATCAACATTTTTTGAAAAATAGTCACAAAGAGCATTTCTAGATATTTTTTCAAATTCATTCCAACTTTAGTAATAAAAAAATTAACCTATTTAACGGAAGCGAACAAAATTTTTTAAATTGTCTATTTGGTTATTTTTAGATAAAAAATTTTTTTAAATCGAATATTTTAAGAACGCTCTCTTAAAGAATACTTTAAAATGGTTTATTCGAAATTTTGTCAGAATTGAAATTGGAAAAGATTACTGATGGTTTATTATTGAACATTCAATGATTGAAAATCAAACATTAATACTAAATACTATATTTTTTATTAATAAATAAAATAATTCAGTCTGTAATCGTTGTCCAAATACAAGGCAAACTTGGAACTTCTAATAAGTTATTAAATAGCCGTGTCTCCCTTAATAATGACACTAATAAAGGTTTTCAATTTTGGTGAATTGTATTTCCATGCATTGTGCATCGAAAAAATCTTCGATTTCAACATACTTTGATGTCGGACTGCGATAAAAATAATATATGAATATACAACGTCGTCACGTGAAAATGAGCATAGACAAGGCTTTTGAGATAATAACAGTTAATTTTAGCGCCGTTTGATGACAGAGAGAAAAAAATAAACAATATGAAGTCGTTAATTATAAACTGTTCTTAATTGATATGAATGCATGACAGGCAATTGAAAGCCTTTGGCTGAAAATAAAATGTGAGCTCTGCAAGATGTTTATCTGCGTGGTACTACTATTTCTTGTATTAAAAGTGTCACTACGAAATATATCAAATACCCCGAAAACCTATGCCATTAAGCTTGATTCATCAAATTCATCAAAATTCATTAAATTTGAATTAAAAGTCACGGAAACTCATCATAACTCATCAACAACCAAATTGTTACCAAGTTTGCAAGGTCTTAATGTAGATATATTGTGGAATGAAATATAAATTTAAGTTTCTGTATAAATTGAATTGAATATAATTTTATGTATAAACATAGCCGTTTTCTACGTACTCCTCGGAAATTATCTACTCAGATTATGTAATTGGTTACCAAAATGATCTGTGCATATATGGTTATTAAAAATAACTACTGATTTTTTTCTTGGAACCTGCGTAATTTTTTATGTGTTTCTATGAATCAACAATAATATTTTAAAACCACAAAAATAAAATATTTTTATCATTTGTTAACTCAAAAAATTTCATTTGAAAATTAGGTACATATTTTCAGTGTGAATCACGTGACATATTGTTTTTGTTAAAAACAATAACAATTGCAATAACACAGCTATAAAATTAAAGTAAAGTATATAGCAATAAAATTTTAACGATAAATTTTTTTATAAATTATCTATAATATTATTTCATAAATTACAACCGATTAAATTTTACGTAATAATACACTTAAGTGAATTTGTTTAAATCTTATGCATGTTTCTGTTACAAGTAGAATCTGTGTAAATTAAAAACTCATATAATTCTAATTTGATTGAACTAACGAACATATTATTTTGTATTATAGGTATTCTTTCTATTCTAATTCTAAGGAAAAAAAACTATACAGCCCCTTAAAAGAAAATTAACAATCAGCATTAAAGATAGCTATACAAGAGCTTTAGCCACCTTCAATCAACTACCTTCTCACCTCAAAACTTTAAATAGCAATATAAAAACAATAAAGGACAAAATAAAAAAATGGATCAAAGGCCATCCATACTAGATACTAGATACAGGAATACAATGAACCACAAAATACACTGCAACAATTTACAACAAATCTATTACAAACTAAAGCAACAAGGGAACTTTGATAGTCTAAATTCAGCATTGGAAGTCCATGTGGATGAGGATAAGGATAAGTTTCTCTTGGATGTAAGGACATATTTGTGTTCACAAGGCACTTGTACACTTCATCAAAATCGTTCTCATCGTCGAATGTCTGAATATAACATGAAAAAAATGAAAGTATCAGATAACTACAGAAAAATAATTGAAACAATTGCAAATGTGATTGACATAGCATGGAACTCACAACGGATAACTATTAATACCAAAACAAAAAACGGATTCAAAGAGGGAAAAAGAAACGAAACTTACATTCTAACAAAAACAGATACAACCAACATAAATTTCATTAATAAATGTGAATACTGCACATACAAACAATTAATTGGTAAAAAACATATACTTCTCATAAAAGAAGAAAACAAAGAAGATCACAAAGAACCAAATATAGATAAAGTAAGATATAAACCCATAGAAACAGTATTTAAACAAATAGATGACATTGCAGACAACAATAGTATGCAAATAGAAACAAGTAAACCAAAAAATACATCAGGAAAACCGATTCAACAAACAAATAATATTCGAATGACCTATGGAGACATCAATTATCTTGGAAACAATAAAGCATTATTATACTTTTATAGAGGTATCAGAGGATATCAAACTTTCACTAATTCATTGCACTCACTGGAACAACAACCTAAATATAAAGATTTGATAGTCTTAGATGACATAGTATTCACAGCAACATGTAAATGCGATTCACATAAACAACATACTGAAATGTTCCCTCATTATAGAGTCACGTGTGCTACAGGACTTACTTGTCCAGCTAGACTAAATACATATGAAAGAGTATCATATGCAAGAAAAATGAAAGCATCAATGACGACAATCGTAACGGCCAGACAAATGTTAATCAGATATTGGAGATAGAAGAACAAAATTGAAGATATTAGTGAAGTAAGCTTTTATAGGAAGCATTCTTGCTACCAATATTAAGCCATACTTCATTTGTGAAATATTATAAACTATTATACAAAATGATTCTTAGTTTTTTAATTTTTTTTTTTTCCGTTTAATTTCTTTAAGTGTTAGTAGTTTTATAATACCAGACCAGCGAACAGGTTTATCCTCTGCCGGGTTACAAATTTGTAATGTATAATTGTATAATTATTACTACTTGTTGTAATATTTTGTACTATACTCTGGTTAATAATAATAATAATAATAATAATAATAATTCTATTAAGTTAACGATATGACCGTAAAAGATTTAATAATATTTTTATGTATCGAGTTCAGTATAATTTTTTTTTCATTTACAAATGGGATATTCAGTGTTAACTTTCAAATACTGCACAATTAACAAAAAAGTTTCATGAGTGTAAAGAGGAGTTACGTAAAGACCAGATGATAAGTTTGAAGTAATTTAATTAACTAAATTCATAGTTTTTAAATAATTCACGACTCAAATAAACCGACGTACCATTACAGTTGTATAACTAAGAAAGAGAAAGATGTAAGTATTTATCATTTATTTCTTTTTCAAAGAAAAGCGCTATAAATATTCAATTATTTCATACCGTATTCATTTCTGCGCAGTTTATAAACGAAAAAATCATAACTGAAAAAGAAATAGAAATTCTTAAAAAGCACATTTCAAAACAACTCAGCGATCTGCTTAAGGCAGTATGTATCGAGTGCATCGATAAAGCTAATCAATTATACAACAAATGTACATAATTAGTGCCATTTAAAAGTGTTTTGGTAAAAAAAACATGAAATTGTCAAGTAATAATAATAACTATGAAATAGCTTTTACTTCGTTTTAGTGTTTATGTTGCACCTCTGAATACTATTTTATTTTAAGATTCTTTATCTGCATATCAGGGTAATTATTATTGAATAAATTATATTACATCAACATATTATTTCTAACGTTCATTATTATTATACACTTATTTGACGTTACATTGCCTAAAATAAATCATAATTTTTGATACTTTCTAAAAAATATTAATCATAAACTGTGGTCGAGTTTTTGCAGAGGATTGATTTTTATTTAGAGGATTGTTGCACAGAACACTTTGAAGATTATTAATTTAAATCCTGATGTGATCACTGGCTTTTGTTCAAGCACCCATACAATTGATTTAGGTTAATTATTGGAGTGATGTTCGCTTTATAGAAGTGTATATCGGGGCCTTAAAAATCATGTTTTTTGTAATACATATAACGCATCATTTAATTGAGAATTATTTTGTTATTAGATGTAATGTTATTACATAATACTTCTGTATACTAATGTATCAAATTTCTTGTTTAATACTTACGATTTGAAATCGGATCGACGAAAAATTAAGACACATATATGTAGTATCTGGCTTTACTTAAGACAATGTCAGATGCGTATGTTTCAAATTCAACAAGAAAGTGGAGACCAGGTATTAAAGATACTGGCATTCCGACGACTTCTGTACTAATGTCGTTACTTTCATAAGTTCCCTGAGTATAAAATAAAAATAATGCAAGTAATTTCTGGTAAAAGAATAATAAAGTCATATTAATATTACCTTCGTCGGGGGACACGTAGTTATACCAGCAGCATTCATGTAAGGTTGAAAGAAATCGTTTAGAGAGCTTTGACAAAATTTAACATCCACATTTACCCCTGTAGGAAGGGTATATTGTCCGAAAGTCCGACCCATAATTTTTACTTTAACCTTCATCATTGTTTAGGTAAAATACAATTATTTGATATACGGTTGAGTTGAAAGTTATTCTAACACATATTCATTTGTAAACGATATATTTGCTTACATGAAAATCTTCCGGTATATCTTTGATAATATCAATTCTTAAACTTATACTACTTTTAGTTTCAGATTCATTTTTAAAAGAGAAATGAAACGTTTGTTCGTCAACGTAACTGAAGTTTACAAAATCGATGAACGCATTTTCTACTTTAACTTTAGATTCCTGCAAATAATAAATTACAAATATCACAATAATTTGACAAAAAAATTACAAAGTACAGTATATTTAATTTAATTTACAGCACAATCATGAATTGGAAACGAACTAAACAGTATGATGAAAGTAAAAACTTTTTGAATCATATTGAAAAAGGAAAAAAAATTGAAATTTCGAAAATTAGTCTGAAGATTATTTAACAATACTGAATGAAGACTGCGCTCGGTTATTCTGTCTTATAAATATTGTTTTCTATCTTGATAAGTCTGAATAGAACTAAGCTGTAAAAATTTAACGTTTTTCTGAGTATCTTTAATTATCTTATATAAACTTAATAAAATTTTACGATCTCATTATGTCACAAGATTGAGAATGCATTTATCTCGTCATGCAATCTACATTTCAGTTCATTACACTACATCATTATTAGATCGTTTCGTTGCTTAAAAAAGTTATCTAAATTTACATAATATCGTTATCCAAACTTTTCAAATGATTGTAATAATTATCTTGAACCATCCATAAAAACTTACATAGTTTAATTAAAAGCCATAAAAAAATGAAAATTTCAACGATGTCGAATGAAATTGTACAGATAACGAATGGCATAGCAGTTTCGAGATGTAGCCACTGATAAGTGAATCAAGTATTAATATGACTTCGTGATTCTCTTTTTTTAAAAAGCATCTCCTGCGTTGAGTGATGGAAGTCACAAAAATGTTTCTTCAAAGAAAACCAAATAACATAAAATGTTAATTTATTGTTATAAAATGCATTTCTTTAATCATGAATTCATTTATAAATTGACGGCAAAACCAGGTGTGTTGATTTAACACACTTAAGTAAGTGGAATTCCTGCCCCAAAAACTCACTTCGGGGTATGCGTTAACGTCCATACACGTATAATGTGTTGGATTAATTTTGTGCGTGTAATACTTCATTTTTACACACTTATTGATTTCTATTCGTTTAAAACGTGTTAAATAGGAACAAATTCGAAATAGTGATTTTTATTAGCGAGTATGAATTTCACTCCGAAATTATTATATATTTGCCGTACTAAAAATAAATCCCGTGAAAATTTCACGTATAACTACCCGGTTTTACGCATTATATTGAATAGACGAATTTGAATTTCACGTGACTTTTTTGAATAACGTACAATTACTCACCAATGATGATTATTATCAGTTACGTTCATGTTTCAATTTAGATGCAATTTACACGAGGAAGTATTGCACTGGAAACGTGTACGAACAGAATCTTTCTATCATCTTACACATAATCTTATAGCTTTAATTTATACATGTAGATTAGAAAAATGAAATCTTGCCAAAGAGTAAATATTAGTAATTTGATTTTTTAATTTATTTTAAATGGTTTATTGGTTACTTACTATGACAGAACGTAAAATTAAGGATACACGTATATAAAGTATATGTATATACGTATACGTGAAGATCTTCATAATAATTATTCCGTACGAGCGATCTAAGTTACTTGATTTTTTTTTAATTATTTAGTGATCTTTAAAAGAAGCTACTCTATCTTTTAGTTTCTCAAAAGGCTGCTGAAAAAGCTTGTAATATACAAAATCTATAAAAATGAAAAATTAGCCGTAGGACAGCCATGTTATGTTGCCATGCATAATACGCTGATTCAAGATAGAACTGATTCAGTCGTTGGGTGAAGAATTTTTATTTTCATTGATTTATCTGCTTGAGTCACATTTAGTCTCTTTTGAAAAAAAATTTTCTTGTGAGGTGGAAAGTTCAGCGAATGATTCATTACCAGCTGTACTTCAAACTTGAAAAGGTAAAATATTATAATTAATGCATAAATAAACAGTTATATAAAAACATTTTAACAGTATTGAAAAATATACCTCACGGATAAACCGCAGACTGGATTGAAACCGTTGCTTTTCATCCCCTTATAAAAGAAATCAGTATTATATTCGATTTATCATCATTGCTTCAACCTTGCTTTCAGTACAGCTACTAGAATCAAAACATATTTATATAAATTTCATCCCATGAACACTGTCTTTGAAGGGCTGTTTATATTATCAAAATTAGATCATGGATTATTATTTGTACGATTACGTAAATCATTTATAGAAAAAAATATACGTAGTATATTTAGTCAATATAAAGATAAATATGTTGTACTGAATCAATAAGGATATTCACAGCTCCTGTATGCAAGCTAGATCTAACTTCACGTATTGTCCTGTTTCCATTAGCTTTTTTACCTCTCAGTGACCAAGTTTTATTGTATCTTTAGTAAAAATTGCCTACATCAGTGTTCTCGCGATTATCGTTTGTCGAAAACTTGAATTGGTTGCATTTTTTAACTTATAATCATTGATAAACACGTTTATTGAATATTATTGAATACGTATTATTGTACACGAGCGAACTACTATTCTACATAATTAATGTTTTGAAAGATTGTAAATAAATTAATTCTACACATAATTAATTTATTTGCCAGAATTGTGGCTTCAAGTTTCTACACATGATGCTTTTTGTTGATTAATAAAAATAATGTTCTACACGTAATCGATTTTCATTTTACATGTATTATCTTGCGTAAATGTTAATGAATAATATTGTACACAGGATCCATTATTTTTAACGATCGGATAATTTGTAATAATACGAGTATATGTTGAAAAATGGATCTTGTGTATGTATATGTGTGTGTGTTTATGTGTGTGTAGATAACAATAAAGTATTTGTTTGAATAATAATGAATAATTTTTCAGATTGTTGTTCTGACTCAAATGTATACATCAATTTTGATGAATTGAAAAACGCTATGAATTGAAGTTCACGACAAACAATTTTGTCGAGAACATTGATGAATGTTATTTCTTTTGGAGAATACACTAAAAAAATGTTCTTTATGTAGTAAGAAAACTAATGAAATCGGGTTACCAAACGAAGTTAGATCTAGCTTGAATCATACAGTTGTGAAGGCTATTATCAGTATAGTATAAAACTCTAATTTTTATATTTACAAGAAATATTTAACTTCTTGTAGTATTTACGTCACATATTTTATTTCAAAATATAAAAGGTAATAATTCACATACTGTTTACAATATAAAAGTTGTTGGGGACGGGAGAATAAGCAGCTCTTCTTTTATTTATTTTTTTTATTTTGACTTTATTGTCACACACCAAAAAACATCACCAAACAGTACAAAAAATATCGCCGAACAATACAAAAAAAAACAGTACCAAGGATCAACTTACTCGCTCTACACCAGTGTTCGAGCGTCGAGGTCAGACTGACCCTCTTCTCCCATGCCAGCCCTTTTTAAGGACGAGAACGAGTCGGGACCCGATGTTATCTCGCTCTCTAGCTCCGCTTCACTCATGGGCCGCCAAACGATGCCGGGACAGCCCAGGCGCCGTCACCGGATCGTGACCTTTTCCCTTCATGGAGTGATCGTAGCGGCCTCAAGAGAGCTGCGGCATACGGTCGTGGCCTACCCGATGGTAGCCACACCGTCAGATGAGGGAAGCTCATCTGACAGTGAGATTTTTATTTATCGAGCTGCTGACCTCTCAGCTTATGCTCGCCTATATACATTTTATTTTGTTTCGCTTACGCTTACATTTGTTCGCAAACGGTGCTAGGGGATGTATAGTCGTGCATCGAAAGTTTCTCGCATATTTCCCTACAGCTGTTTGGGTTTTCCCTAGCTACTTGGATTTTTCCCGCGAGATGCGTCGCCTAGTCGCAGTAGCTTTACGTGTCATCCCCAACAAAAATACTTACCTGTTTCAGATTATGTACAAAAGTATGCCAAGAAAAAGAATTAGATCATACAAGACGATCAACATATCTATGCAAGTATGCGACAAAAAATGGTAGATGCGAAAAAACAATAAAATTATACATTGCAACAACTTGCCCAAGAAAAATAAATTAGAACTTACGTCTATATGAAATATTAAGTTAGGATTTTGTACGTACGAAAATTGTCATTTCGCTTCATTAGTTTTATTGAGTAACATATTTCTAAGGCCTGTATATATAAAAACACCATATATACAATAAAATATTAATAAAATTCGTTCTTGATAAAATTTGTATACGTTTTGTATAAAATATATAAAATTTGTATAGAATCATTTTTGTATAAAAACTATATAACATTTCTGTATACACTATTATATACAAATTTTATAAGAATTTTATAAGACTTTTCCACGTGGGAAAGTTGATGTAGATTATAAGTCATTTCTTGTAAAATGTAAAATTTGCAAGCATATCGCATAAAAATATCCAACAAACGCTTTGCTTCTGATAACTCTCATTTTGTTATTTCATCCTTTAATAATAAATGCATTGCAATCACAAGACAAAGCCAATACTGAAAGAACTCGTATTTCATGTATTGACATAGACATACTACTGAATACAAGAGTAGCCAATTAAAGTTCTGTAGTTTTATACTTTTTACAACGGCAAATCGATCGTAGGTAACGACAAAACGTATTCGGAGGTTCGATTGATAATAATTTATCAACAATTAAAATATGCTGCTTCATCTAACTTTGATTCTTTTTCAAAAAACATAAAATTGTTAAACGTCTAATTGTTAACGTTTTCGAGTAATTCCGAATGCACACATTCGGGAACTGTGCATGTGCTCAAATCTAATCCACGCAACATTAACAATACAGCCAAGCCTTTAATTTCGTCAGAAGGGTTTTCAAGTTCCATCGCATCACGTACTTGTCTTTTCATACTCTCATGCGTCCGCAATTTGATTCCATTTTTTGGGTATAGAAAATGTGTCATTGCTCTTTTCTGTACATCAATTTTTGGTATTTCTGTAATCTTATTTCACATAAATTTCAACTACTCTCACCCATTTAATGTTGTATACTTAAAACGTCAGCATGTGCAGACGCATCATCAATCAGTATCGGAGCAACTATTCTTGTCAAGTAGGTTTTATTATTTTTTGGACAAGTCCAAGTAATTGGTTTCTTAAAACAATCGATTTTGATATTTTTACAAAACGGCCGTAAATATGTGTTCATATTTGGCTTGCCATCATCGTATCATACTGTACTTACGATAACAAAATTGTCCCGAGCAAATGGAGGTATCTCCGTGATGGTTAGAGGCCACAGAGAGGCTTTAGAGCTTTTTGAATAGGCGATTCCGTCAGTGTATAATATAA